TATGTAGTCTTCACGCACTTCTTAATTGAATATTCGAAACCACACCTTTGAGCTATTCGAGGTCTGGCCTCTCACATCAAGAAACTAATATAGTGGAGAAGCAACAAGGGGCGGGGAACATAGACCCTTATATAGATTTATATGTTATAAAATGTTTACTTGCTATATTCTATTCCTTATTCTATACCTACCACCCTACTTGTTCTACACCATAATAAGCTATAACAAAAGGTTATTATAAAATAGATTATCGTATTAGGAACGTCTATAGTAGTATTCCGCAAATCTATTATACGGCGGTTGTAATAGTCTAATTAGTCAAACCAGCAAATCCAGGGTTACCATAGCACAGATCTAGCTTTCAGCAAGCAAACATGTAAGACGAAATTTGATCAATGTATTCTCTGTACATGAAATTCCACGCAAATTTTTAAACAGAAAAGCGAATCTCCTCCACCAACCCACGAGACTAATCCATGAACGTAGGTACTTGGCAAGCGGATTAATTAAAAAGCGGGTCAAGTATCGGCTAAATCTGAGCTTTTCTCTGCGTACAGTACTACAGTCTACGAGTACAGTACTGATTCTCTTTCGAAGGCAAGGGTCTGGACAGCCCGCGGGCTCCCACCTCATCAATCTCTGAAATACGTCCACATTAATCAGACAGTCTAAATGGCTTGAAACTTTATACCGTAGGGTTGTACCTTGCTTATAGAAAGTCGTACACGAAGTACAAGGGAGGAGGAGACGCAAGCTGTCCAGACCCTGCCTATATCTGCTGATATTATCGGTTCTCTTGATAGAGCACCAGACTCTTTTATCATACGAGTACAGTGATAAAAAACTCGGCGAACACTCTGAAACTGAGCTGTCTGCAGAGCTCACCTCCTTTGAGTGCTGCTCGACTGAACTGCTCAACTGAAGTTCTCGAGTTCATATTTTTCGAGTTTTCCGAGCACCAAAACACACAATCCCTGTTGAAGGTCTATCAATAGGCAACAATGGAACTTCATACGAGTTCTGACTGTGAAGCCTCACCTGTGCAAGAACTCTTTTCGAGGCTAGTCACGTGGTCGATGTAAATAAAGTTTCTGAGATGCTTCCCCAGATGCGCCCATTATTTCTGAAGCTTTTCCAACTCCATTCTGCTCCATGTGCTCTGCTCACATGATGGCTTCACAGCCTCGGCATAACTTTCCCAACCCTGCCGACCCTGCCAAGTGTTAAACGGAGAATCTCAATCCACTATGGCGCGCGCGTCACTTTTACCCCGCATTACCGTAAGATCATGGACCCACATGACGGACCTGCCTCGTAAAAGAAATACAAGTTGAGTAACCTCTGCTGGCCACCAGACTGGTTGGATCTGCCGCGACATTGCAGCTCAATCTCAAGTACCACCGTTTGGATTGAGACGTCCGTTATCCGGAAGTTCCTCAGAAGTAGCCATCCGCACAATGCCCAAGATGCTCCTTTATGCTCGACGCGCTCCCCCAAAAGAGTCAAAGAAGAGATCGAGAGCTGGTAAGATGCCAAAACATTCTCTGAGAGTGAGACTGTGCTGACGGGATTGGTGTTGGAGGTTGTATATCTTGGTAAGCTTGCTCGACCAAATGTTGGTTCCTACGTATACTAACCCATACCAGCAAGGAGAAGGTATGCCAGATGCCATCCCCGCGACTCCATTGGTTTTCCTGATCTCTCTTTCAGAAGAAGAAATGCAACGAAAATCGTCCTTGCGATCGGTGCACAGAGCGAGGCTTGAAATGCGAATACGAGGCCGTGAAGCCACGAAAACGAAGGCGGTCTTCCTGTGCAGGTTCAGTCTTTTCCGCAGACAGCCAATCGCCTATATTCTGTGACGAACCATGGCCTGGCAGGTTCGAATCTTGCGAAATACCTGATGGTGATAATGAGGTTGTACAGAAGTGGGAGGTAGAATCGGAATACCAGCAATTCGATTTGGAATTGCCTGTATACGAGTGGGATGTCGCTTGGGACAACCGAACCGAGAGGAAATATAATAACTGCGCAGAACCACAGAGTCCAACTCAATTACCAGGGTGCTTGGTGCGTTCACGAAGCCAGTATCCTGATCTTGCGATGATTGCTCCTTCGCCAGTTGCCTCACCACTTCTCGAGTTCAATGCGCCTCTATATATGGAATTTTCAGACAAATCTAACCGCCGGGCATTGGTCGACCATTTTTGCAACGTTCTATCACATTTGATTGTCTTCAAAGAAGATACTGGGAACCCATTTAGGCAACTGGTGTTGCCGTTGTCGCATGGTTGCTCGCCCGTTATGAATGCTATTTTCGCCTTATCTAGCGCTCACCTGGAATATGGAGGCGTTGAGAACGAGGAAAAGTCATTGACTTTCCATAACATGGCATTGCAAGGCCTTGCTCAACTTATTGAGCAGAATGATCAGATACATAGGGAAGAGGTCTTGGCAGCAATTATGATCTTAGTATATTATGAAGTGGTGAGCGGGATAATATTGCTTAGTCTATATTTTGCTGACAGAATTTAGTTGGTTCAAAAAGGTAAGTCTAATATTGTCAATGGCCATTTGAAAGGCGCAATGACAATAATGAAATCCGGACCACGGATTTGCACACCTGCTGGTCTGTTTTTGGAACGAGTATGGCTGTGTTGTATTTGTTTACCCAGTAATACTGACTGTCTCGTAGGCATTCCGATTTTATGATGTTATTGCAGCTCTTTCATTCGGGACATGTCCTACTTATGTCACCCAACCAATACCTACTGCGTTCCCAACAGAAGACGGCGAAGACCAATCATTTAATAATTCGCCCCTAGATTCCGTGGATACTTTGCTGGGACTATCTACCGACCTTTGGCCCATTATTAATCAACTTTCTCATCTACTGTCTTTTAAAAGGTCATTGGAAGAAGCCATAGCCGCTGGGGAGACTACAAAAGCCAGGCGTCTAAGACGTGAGTTAGAAAGCGCTTCTCAAGCAATTGAGGATGCGCTCACAGATTGGAAGCCCGTTGTATCTCCAAATCCATTATCACCAAATTCGGAATCTAATGAGCAGCCCATTGATCTTCCAGATGCTCGTATACAGAGTATTCTGAATAACGCTGAAGCCTATCGCAACTCAGCATTTGTTTATCTTTACCACACCATTCATTCACAATCAATATCTGATATCTTGGTACAGAGGCACGCACATCTCTCACTAATCGCATGTGCGAACGTTGTTAAAAACGCGGAGCAATGTCACGATGGACCAATGTCGGCTTTACTGTGGCCTCTTTTTGTTGCAGCTTGTGTGGCTATGACTGAGGAAGACAGAGAATTGGCTCTGGATGCATTTGGTGGTACGGAGCGTAGGCAGAAAATGAATAATATCATGAGAGCAAGGGAAGTGGTGGAGGAGGTTTGGAGGAGAACCGATCTTGGCGAAAATCACGTCAACTGGATGGATATAAGTAAGGGAAAGGGGTATAATATCGTCTTTGGATAATACTAAAGTTGATAATCTTTAAAGAAACATACAACACCACGATGATGGAAACTTGTCAAGGTGATGCTCACGTGATGAACTACAGGATTCCATTAGTTTGTTCCTATTAAGCTTGTTGACTCGAGGAGTTCGCTCTGGCATTTTGGTGATTACATCTATTCTATCTAAACCTAAAGTCACGCTTTAAAGCTGAGAGATCTCAGAAAACAGTTTGCTAAAATAAAGATGGCACCTCTATTCAATACACTCAGCACTTTACCGTCCCCACTTGGCAGCGCAATAGCCTGACCCCATTTTCTCCACAAATTCAATTTTGTTAGCGTAAGACTCTTAATATGGCACAGGGATAATAAGGAAAAGCTCTAGCAGTATTTACCTGCCAAAAATGTCAAGCAAAAAATAAAAGTAAAGCCTTCAGGTCTTCCTCTTAGGCAGGGAACTTGAGAAACTGGAGACACTAGATACTTGCTCCAAATTGCCTTTCAGCTCTCTTTTCTATACATACAATAAAGTTGAAGGTGAAGTATCTAGGAGCCTTCGCAAGTTCAGCTTCAATTGCTCCTGTTGATGAGGGGGGAGGTGCCTTGATATTGTGCCCTTACCAACGTAGGTTGATACTGTTTTGTGACTTTTCTTGAAGTTTTAGATTCAAAAAGATTAAGAGAATAATTGCTGGGTTTTTTGATCTCTGATGATTGGGTACTGATGTGTTTGTTTTGCTTACGAAATACAAGCAACTTATCGATTATAGAAATGTAAGAGAAGTTCTTTTGAGTTGCATTGGCATTCCTAATTCTTCATTGACTGTCAAACCAACGCCGCTTTTGGAGGTCCCAGGGGGTGCACAAGATGCTTTGATATGAATAGCAAATCGGTGTTTAGTAAAGACCGATTTCGCGCTAAGGGAACGCATCGCACAAATTTGATATTTCCCCTCCCACAACTCCAGCTCCGATCTGTCGCAGAAAGTTTTCCTCCTCATCGCAAAATCTTTCAACGGATGGTAAGTTACACTTCGCGCCCACGTGTTTGCATCTGAACTGACATTGAAGCCATAGATCTTGAAGAAAATACGACGCGCATCACTGTCCTTTGGTCCAAACTAGCAATCTTAGGGCTCCAAAGAGATACCTCAAATCCCATTGAGCCATTCAAAGAGGGTCAGTCGCTGGGCTTGAATATTTATGGTCTCTAGGCCAAGCTTGAGAAAGCGCAGACTAAGTTTGACTCACTTGCCTACGTACTTCATACAATCTGTGTATGCTAATTACTGTCACAGCGCACCTTGCGAACGATCACCTCAAGAATCAGGGGATTCTGGACTGTCCGATTGACTCGCCACTCATTCGCCCATTCCTTTATTTGTCCATTCATCCTGATATGCAAAGCAGCATTCCATAATTGTGTGATTATTCAGCTAATATCTTTTCAGAGCTCTCTATTACTTCTCCCTGTTCTTGCCTCCGATTTGCATCTAAATGCGATAATAGACACACTGAATCTCTCCAACTTCTTTGTTGGAAGATCTGTGGGCTTCACAGTGTAGCCATGAAGGGGGGTGAATTGTACACCTGCTTTTCAGATCAAGCTTTGGTCACACCAGCTGCCCTAAGTGCGACGCAAAGGAAGAAGGAGAGCGCATCCTCTGAGATGGTGACGCCGATCTCAGTAGCAATACAACGATCACCACATCACTAAAACCTAACCAACCATCAGTCAACATCCCTACCCGAGACTGCCATTCCAAACGTTGCCTACGTTGACGCCTTTGACGCCCCTTCATCCGCAAACCCTCAAAACATGGAGAACTACGTCGCCAACGGTGCTTTTCATTCTTCCTGCCGCCTACGACTACCCTCAGACGTCAAAATTCTTCCAACATACAGTTGCCGCCGAATATGTTTCATGATCCCGAGTCAAAAGACTCGGGGCGGCTTTGGGGAGATCTACATCCATGGTACCATCCTTCCTTGCCTCTTCCCTGGCCACATACGGCATCTACGGCACCTCAATCGTACAATTAGGTCGGAATCGACTAAATTGCAAATCGTAAATTCACACCAGTGGAATACGGCGGCTCACAAAAACCTGTTGCGAAAGCTCCACATTGACTCAGACAGAACGACGAGATTTGAGCAGTACCGCTTGTTCGCTATTGGGGTCGATTTGGAGCTTTCGTAACAGGGTTTTGTGAGCTTACCAAGAACGGTATTAAGGAACGCCAAAAGCGCAGAGGTGCTGCCAATGGCAGCGACTCTGAATGCACCTCGGGAGGAGGATGATAACTCTGATGTTACTTCTGATGGTGTTACCAACTACAATGGCGACATCATCTACGTGGGTTTGTCGTCTGTCGGTTCAGGAGCTGTTCTTATGTGCGATGGATACTTGAAGAGAGGTTGGAGTGTGTGTGTATGTACTGATATGATAACTGTTCTCAATCACCATTGATCTTCTTGTGATGGCCTAAGGAAAAGTGACGAAGTGCTAAATGAGCTAGTTTCTGGAATGCTGGTGTATTGAGATAGAAATTGGATTGATACCAGTAAGACTGGACTTGACAGGATATCCACAACAGAATTTCTTATATCTGGAGTTCTTTCATGTTGTTCTCTGCTCATGAGTGTGATACTGATGCCATACCACAGGAGCTACAGGAACGCATAAAATCTGTTAGAAGTTTTAATCTTCTGGAATATTCTGACACCCACCGGGTTCAAATCATCTTCTGCGTCTCTACATCCAAGAGAATAAATTGCAGTATTCAGATGCTGAATGGCTTGATTCAACATGGCAGTAGATGGTGATATTCGTTACATTTTCTGGTCTCTGTTGGTATATTAAATGATGGTTTTGTTACACTGAGTGATTTGTGCAGTCTCCTGATAGATACGCCAAGGCGGGTCATGTGACAGTAGCTCCCTAGTTCTTTACAGGATGGGCGATAATTCTATTTGAGAGAGACTAAGATGCACACTCTCTCGTCTTGCACTTGAGAAACTTCAGTAATGTAATTGTTACATACTTGGTGATTTGACGAATAGTATTAACTTGAAGTTATTAGTATCACGTGATAAGCTGTATACGTTCCATGCGTTCTAATATTGGTTGGCAACTTTAAGACTAATAAACATTCCTGGATCTTGTAAGGTGGGCTTATTCTTTGCGTTGTACACTGGTTGCATCATAAGGTAAGCTACCGCTACCTGAGTCAATGCAAGTCCCCTTCGTCTCAAGTAACAAGTTACAAAATTACTTTTTGAACATAAAAAAGATTCCGTTGTAATCCTACGTCTATCTTATTTCAAACAAATGATCAGGTTTTATATCATAGAAGTTCTGCCTGACCGCCTCACCGTCCATCATGCCATGGATATAAGATTCGCCAAGAAACTCGTAATGTCTATAGGGATCCCGCTTGTTGGCCTTCGTCTGCTTGGCCTTGAATCGCCCTCTTTGTTTGGCTTTCTTTTCGTCGTCATTGATATCTTCACTTTCGCAGTCAGTGTACTCCTCATCTTCCTCTTGCGTCGGTTCTTCAGAAGTCTGTTTAGGTGTCTCTTTTCCTCCTTCAATCACCTGTCCTCCTGCGCTTGCCTGTCCTCGCCTGTCCTCCTTCGCTCACCTGTCCTCCTGCGCTCGCCTGTCCTCCTGCGCTCGCCTGTCCTCCTGCGCTCGCCTGTCCTCCTGCGCTCGCCTGTCCTCCTGCGCTCGCCTGTTCTCCTTTGTTCTCCTTTTCTCCTCCCTTCTCCTTTTCCTGTTTTAGTTTGAAGCCTGCTGTAGCTTTTTTTATGTCCTCTACTTCTTTGAGCTCTTTACTTCCAGAGGCCGCTTTTTTTTTCCTTCCCATCTCCATGTCGCCCATGTTCATGATTTGGGTAATCTTCCCCACGCCTCTCACCAAGACCACGGAGTTTCTTGCTTTTGCAAATGGAAAAGACTTTCCTCATGCCGGCCAAATAGGAATCCACACCGTTCATCTCTCCAGCTGGTGTATGCAATCATGACTTATTTTACAGCCCATCCATCCTAAATTTCGACACCTTCAGCGTGACAAATTCGAGGAGTTGAGTTAAGTAGCAGCACCTTCTTAATTCCACTTGAGTAGTTAAAATCCCCAATAAACTCAACTCGAGTAGTGTCGGCCCGATACCCCGTAGCGCGCCCGGGCTCGCTAGCCAGACTCCTGACGGTGGTTCTAAGCACTCTGACTTACCCCCATATCAGGCACAAGCGATAGCATCACCGAGTGATTTAAAGTCGGTCACGTTTTTGATTAATATTTGAGTATTACTCGACTAGTCAAATCTATTAGTCAGCTTAACTTAACAGAATCAACTAGTCGTACTCATGTAACTCAACTCGATCACAACTCGAGTTGAGCTAAGTAGTTGGGTAAGTTTGATAGTCACACTGCGTAACTCTTTCATTCGGCCATGTCTCTCTACTTGGATGATTCGACAATTATAGATGATTATGAATCCTACTAGAACTTACCGCAAGCTATAGTATCCTCTGACAGTTTCCTACAAATCCTGTTTAGATCCCTTCAAGGAACATCAAAAGCCCCCTTTCTCTTTTATTCCTTGCCTGCCTCTGACATTTTTCAATACCGTTGATATTCTGCTAATAATTTTCGAACTCGTAACCGCGTACTTTGTCTAATTTCAATAACAGAATGCTACCTAGTAAGCGCCAAATACAAGACCAAGCAGCAACTAATAACGTAAGTAAAGAAAGGAAATACTTGTTAGTTGAACGACCGTAGATAATTAAAATAAATTCGAACGATAAAAGTTCTAATATAGAGCTGGTCTGGCCCTTTTTAGACGGTCAGCAGGGTAATTTGCCCTGAGTTACTTCGTAGAAAGTTTTCTTGCATGGTTGTTGTCTTCTTGAAGAAACCTCTGCTCTTGAATTCGCATGATAAGAGCATTTCCAAATTCACGTTCATACTCGAGTATGCCGTCTTATTTCGTATCAATAGTCCGACCACGAAAGCTAAGTTCAAGTAATTGAAGTCCAAACCATTATTTTTGCCATCAATGGTAATGATAAAAAGTCAATTTTCCTTGGGCTTCTATGCTTGAAGAAACTTTCTTAGTCGTTTTTCCCAATATTAATCACTCTCGCAATCGTAAACTTACAAGTAACAAAACTAAGATCTAGGATCTTAAGAAGAATGACTAAAAGTCTACCACAACCATCCACATACGTACATCATAAGCGAAAGGGTGCAACATCCTCAATCTATTCTTCTGTATATTGCGATTCTGCGACAACCCCCAGAAAGAATGTCCAATGTAATCCCAGCTTCTCAGACGCTCAAAATACCAAACCCCTTCGAAACATAAAGTTTTCTCATATTTCCGTAATCTCACAATGCAGAGTTCCTCCCTCCATTATCTTCTCCCCTTCCAGTGGACAAGAAAAGCAGACAGTCCTTTTTCATTAGCGCAACTGGATTCATTTCATTAATCCACTCTAGTTACATATTAGAACAAGAACAGGCCACCGGAAAGTTGTACAACAATTATCTCAATTGCTTTCCACAGCCTGAAATTAACAAGGCCTCAAGTCAGCTTACGGCAATTGAAAAAGAAGAATCTCTACCACTCTCTCTCGTCTTCTCGTCTACCGAGAGCACCTTGTTACAGTAGTCCAAAAACAACCCCACAAAAAGCTCACCACCACTCCAACCGAGTCATGCCACCATTCCCCCGACTTCTCCCCATCCATCCCCTAGCTCCACCCTAACCCACTTTACTTATGCACAGCCCAAAAACCTTCATATTCCCAGATAAGTATCGGTCTTGCATCAAAAATAAAGCGGCCTCTTGGTCTAGTGGTATGATTCACGCTTTGGGTTCTCAATAACAGAGAATAAATGTGTGAGGTCTCCGGTTCGATCCCGGAAGGGGCCCAGTAGAGAGTTTCTTTTTTGCCTCAAGCACTTTTACCCCGGATATTTTGGGGAACGGCCTGTGGAATGAGAGGAGCTTGAAAGAGGAAGGGAGTGGGGATCTTAGGATTGGGAGATTTTTCGGTGAATGCATCTTTTGGGTATAACCCTCATGGGGTTAATTGTTTTGATGATTCCTGCAAGTTCTCGGAAAGCAAGGTTGAGTCACATTTTGCACATATTCACTTTGAAACTAGTAGTATCCCAACCCAAAGAAGTCATAAGTAGTAGCGTGAACTACTTTAAACTTTATGTAAATACATAGGAAAGATAGTATGGACGGTTATCGTTGACCTGACGAACACTAATTAGAAGCTTACTAGGCCAGAACCCCCTGTTTTATGTTCGATGTTTCTGGGCTGACCATTGATTGTACCTATCATAATGGAACTCGTTTGCAAGAAAGTTGTGATTAGGATTCGGTGTTCAATATATGCGCTACAACAGCGTTTGCAATGGGAATCACAAAGTAAAAAGTGCCTGGCGTTAAGTGTACGCCCAGTCTTTACCATCTTTCTTAACCAGCCTCACTATCATAACTTTATTCCATCATTGCTATTTAAAAACCTTAAAACTCCTCCGTTCATCAAAAGTTCTTCCCAGTATAAGGACTTTGCACACTCGCAAACCCCTGCGGACAAGCCCTCCCAAGAGGCGCACTTCCACTCCTCATATAACAAACCTTAGCCTGTGCACAAGCATCACTCGTACAGTTGAGACTCCTCGAACTGCTCTTGCCCTGGAACCCATTGAACGTCTCTACCAACGTTCTATTGGTCTCCATAGCCTCCGTGACCTTGTGCCAAAATGTAGCGTTCAATAGGGCCTCCTCAGGCCAGTCGATAGAGGGTCCGTAAGCATCACGAGTAGAGTACTCGAACTGATAGGTTGGGCCTGTAGAGTTGAGAGTGGGGGTTTCGGAGATGTCGGAGTAAAATGTGTATGCGTCGTAGATCTCAAATGTTGATGTGTCTACGGAGTACATTCTATACCCTGAGTTGAGGTTTGTCAAGGGCGTGACGGAGGGTCCTATCCAACCTACTGTCTGCGCTGTATCGGTAGAGCGAACGGTTCCATTATTGGAGTAGTAAAGTATGATTTGATCTTCATGTGTATGTCCCCAGAATATGTTTGCGATTACATGAGAAGAGTAACGATCCACGATTTGATAGAACAGATCTGATGGGCCCAGGAGTGGATTTGTACCGTCCCAGCCGCTTAAGACGTGACCGATTATCCACACCCTTTCGCAGTTGTCTTCTGCTGCTTGGAGTTCATTGATGAGGAAGTTGAAGCCGCCCGAGTTGTCGGGGTTACTTATGTTGATGAAATTTGGGTAATTGTTCCGATACCAGAAATCTGTGTTGAGTGTGATGATTCGGAGTCCGTAGTGGTTAACAATGGAGTAAGCTGCATAATGAACAGCGGCTTGACTTGCTTCTTCAGCACTGAGCCATTCGTTATGTTGCCATAAACCAGAAACGTGATTGTAATTCCAGCTAAATTGTTGGCCAAGTGGTCCTGGGAGATTGTATGGGCCGACAATGTTTTCAGGGCTGGAATCGTGATTTCCTAGCACTGGAAATACCGGACCCTCGAGGTATGATTTGAACATGCTGTAAATGCTGGTTTCGGTGTACTCAACGTAGGCTTGTGACATTTCATTTTCCGGATCGTGAGATACCAGATCACCCGTGTAGATTGACCATGCAGCGTTGGATTTGGTTGTCCCTGTTCCTGTGAGGGAAGCAATTGATTGCAATGCTGCGAGGCCGAGATAATATGGTGTATCACATCTAGGGAAGTCAGTTACAAACTTCTATGGGTTCCAAAAGATCTACTAACTTATATGCTCCATACAAAGGCGCTGGAAATACCGCTTGAGAAGTTCCCGTCGAACCAGAATACCTACAACACATACTTGAAGAACAATTTGCTTCCGACGCAACCTGATATCTTGGATCCAAATGAAAATCCGACAAATGAATAACCTTAACCCTCTCCCCACTCGGTTCAGGTATATACAGATCCAGTGGCTTTGGTTTCGGGAATAATCCAGTAGTATTTAACGGCGTAAGTGCTGGAGCAGGACAAAAAGTACTGCTCAACGAGCTACAAATATACCTCCCATCAAGCCCATTGACATCAGCCAAAGCCAGAATTTGAGTCCAAATAGCTCCAAAATTCGTAGCATTGTAGCCAGTCTGGCAAGATTTGGTTGTTCCCCATCCCGTTGACTGACATAAAGACACCATCGCATCCGGAATATATGTTGGCGCCAATTGGGCGACTACCTTTCCAACACTCAAGGCAGCAATACATTTCGAACAATTTCCGGATGAACCACCATTATCCGAGATTATATCTTTGATTTCAGCTATTGCTGCTTGGATGATGGTTTCTGAGGTTGCATTTGTCAGATTTGCTATTGCAACGGGATAGAAGACTGGATCAGTGCTTGCTGATGGAATTGTTGTTGGATCGGTGAGGTTCAATGGATATGTGATATTCAGCACAGGGTCGAAGATTGCGGGTTGGGGTTCTGATGTTGGTACTGGTTGCAAATAATAACTAGAAAACACCGCGGTTGGGAATGCTGACGGAACTTCGTATGGTGGAACCCCTGGAAGTTCTGCTTGCACGGATGAGAAGACCATGAATTTTACTGCCAAAACTGCTAGAAGAAGTTGTGCCATCGTGAATCGGCAGTACTCGGATTCCTCCAGCTCAAATACAAAGCGCCCAGGTTATTTGGTCTCTCTGGGTCCCAGTGCTGGGACAGGTAAAATTGCAGGAGGGTACGCGGAATTGAAGAAAAGAAAGGAGACTTATTCTTATATACTCTAGCTTCACTTGAAGTTACATTGTACTCGCTGATTCCTAAATCAGTCTACTAAAAGTGGATGGTAGTACATGGAGCCCCCGCCTTCGATAGAACGGAAAGCGGGATGGACGCGGGGACAGCTGAATGTGGGAAACTGATTGGCCCCCCGACAAACGCTACAAGCTTCCAGGATGGACAGTCTCGGGCATTGTGATTGCAGAAATTTCGCGGATAGCTTCATGGATAGGAGCCCGAAGTACTGTAAGGACGAAGAGTACAAGAGATATTGGTGAAGGGAACATTGGGAAAGGTTGGGTGGGCGTACGGTAGGTAAGAAATCAGGGATAAATACCTAAGTTCACAAACTGCAAATGCCACCCAGTGCTAAACAAGACAATCATTATGAATGAGCTGAGAGTTTTTGTAAGTTTGATGATATCTAGGTAACGCCGAATGCTTTTAGGTTTGGATGTCAGATAGGTTAAAAACTACAGTACCGCGGGGAGGAGAAATCTTAAAATAGGGTTGCTGTGGCGGTGCAGTAGTTAAAAAAAGATGTGGCGCTTACTTCCCTTCCCACTGAACGACTTCAGAATAACGAATTTCAATTCATTTTCTTCAACTTCTTAATATTTTAGTCACAATTAAGCCATACATACAGGTCGCTTCATTTCCGAGTGGAGTCAAGTCTGCTGAGCCGGCAAATGAGGATTGTGAGAATCGGAGAACGGAGATAGACTCAGAGAAGCGGTACTGTATCTGTTGCCTGTTAAATTCCTGCTGTCAAAAAACTTGCAGTTCTGTAGGATTCTTGGTTGGTTCTGTGACCTACTCCTCGAGGAGTCAGTATTAATGAACCAACAGTTCCGGAAGATTACTTTATAAGAAGATTCATAGAGGAAACATCCCAACACACTTGAGCAACGCATGAATAATATTCCGCAGTTATCTATCGCAGGAAAAGAGTTTCATTTTATACCAAGATTACGAGATTGAATGATTTAATTGATTACAAATTTCAGCAGACAAGACTACAACACTATGGAGGATGTTTCCGCAGACTCAAATAAGCTCAAAATATCCGTCTGATTTTCATCCCCAGCGTTCCCTTCCGAATCCGTCGTACAGCCATCTACCTCATCATCTTCAAGTATCTACGAGTCCTATTGCCCAATAAACCTTGGAGCAGCTCTAGGTTTTTCTGTATTCTCTTCTTCTTTTCGGCAAATCATGAGCCACTTCTCCTTCTTATCCTCCTTATTCTTAGATCCCTCCTTATTGCCAGTCTCCGAAGAAGTTGTGATTCTCTCCCCTATCCCGCCATTACCATCACTCAAATTCGGGCCCTCTGCTTTAATATTGGGTGATTTAAGAGGTGCCGACATTGTACCAGCTCTCAGTATCTTTACTTAGGTTGTATGAGAAAGTGAGGAAAATGAATAGGATATGGGAAATGAAGATGAATAGTAGAGCCTTAAGGATATATATACTTCTCAAACAGAATTCTCAAAAGGAATTACTCTCACTCAGCTCATTAGTTGTTAGCCAATAGTCACAAGTGACTAAATTTTCAAAGGCTCTACTTGCCATACCAGAGAGCCTTTTGAGCAATTCAATCTACAAACTGGTTAACAAACCACCGAAATAACGAGCTTTGTAGGCGGCTTACTTTGCGACCCCTTCGAATTTCAAAACGTTCTGGTCAGCTCCAATCAATAAGAGATTTATATGTATTCAATAGTGGAGTTACTAATGACGGCGGATTGCTATGGTTCTTCGATAACTTCAATACTTGCTACGTTCCGGGGATAAATTCCCTTCCAACCCTCAAATAAAACAAGATCAATATCTCGTCTCGCCACCCCCGACTGACTTTCTTCGCAATAGGCGCCATTTTCTCTTACTCTGACTCCTTCCTACCTTTTCCAACTTCTGTATCGTCAATTCCCCTACTAGTTTTCTCATTGCCCACATTCATTGCAGGATCATTATCATTCTCCTTTCCAATATTCCTAAGCTGCCTCACCATACTTTTACACCCTTCGTTTCTCTCACGAGATTTTGGTTTAATAGAATATCCTGCAGAAACTGGACCTGGCGGCTGAAGGGTTACAAGCTTGATATCCTATTTGTTTATTTTTGTTACTGGAGTTTCGATAGCCGCTATATTCTCAGGTCCTTCCCCAGCCGACATCTCTCGCTCATTCGTAGACTTCACGGTCAAAAATCTACCTTCGATTCTCTCCCCAGGCTGCAATTCCGTAGGAGATTCACATATACCATCAGGATCAAGATCTAAAAACACCGGCTTATTTTCGCTTGAGGGAAGGGTCGTGATATCTACCGTTTTCTTTTCTGGACTTTGGAGTTTATGCTCTGAGAAACAGACTTTTCTGGAACTAGGCATTATTTTCAGCTTCAGGGACAGACTCAAGGCTAAATCGTGTAAGCCAAAGGGAAGAAGTACCAAAGAATGGAAGAATAGATCACGTAAAGCGAATGATTACAGCCAAATATATACACGGGGGTCCACATAAAATGAATATGTCAAATTCACCTAACTAATCACAGTCATTGCTTGTTGGCTAGTAGTCATTTGTCACTGAGTAAGATGAGAGATTAATTAGATTGCGTTGATTGATTGGAAAGATAGATATGTACTAATCAATACCACAATCATCTCCATACATATTATCATATCTCACTCACTCTCCTGTTTATCTTTACCCTTGCCACGAAATTTGGACGCCAATTTCTTTGCAGCATTCTTCGCCGCCATCTGTTCGTACTCATCACTTAACGAATCTTTCAAAGACTTCTCCTTGATTTCCCCCTCCTTCCTCCCACCTTCACCTGTCTCATTCTCGACCAACCCAATTGAAGACTCAGAAACCCCCGCATCCGGTATTTGCGCACACGGATCTTTAACACTTGATTCTGGGATTGGTTGTGCACCAGGTGGACCAAGCATATTGGGTTAACGTTTAAGAACTGGGGTAGGGTTCTTATTATCATTACCGTCTGATGAAGTTTGCATTTCATTATCCTGGAAGATGATTTTTGGGTTGGCTGACATATTTTCTGAGGTTGATAATGGTTCGATGGTGTCAGGCACTTATAAGATTTGAACTAGGAAGAAGTTGATAGCAGATGAAAAAACAGCTGAGCGAGTCCAAGATTACATGCCAATTTCACACAAAGAAAATAGCTTTTGTGCCACTAGTTAGCTGTTGGTAAATTAGTGTACAGTTAGTGGTTGTAAGAACCAACAAGCCAACATCCAACCAACCCAACCCAGAGAACAGTATCAATGAAAGAAAAAAGACTCGAGGAGATCACTTGACTTTACTGCCCTTATTATCCTATCCTCACTATCGAACAGGGTTGATACGTTAGTATGTTGTTCAGAAGAGAGAGGGGGGGAAAGATGGAGATTAAGGACAGACAAGTAGCAAACAATTATTAGCGCTACACGAACGCTGCTAGCCTCTGTACGAAGGTAGCATTGGCCGCTAAAAACAAGTAATACGCACTAGAATATTTTCCTTACTTATCCCCTGCTACTTTCTCTTCTATTTCTTTACGATACTACTTTGCGGCAGCGACAGTAATAGCGAGAAGGGGATAGAGAATAATAAAGCATGGTTATATGACCAGTTTATATTATACTAGTTACTATATATACTAATTACCTTTTAGAGTTCTAGCATTATAATACTAAATCTAATAGGGATAAGATAGCTTAACACCTATACGTAGTATATCCTACGAACCTAGAATTTTACTATTCTAGAGCTAAGATTAAGCGTAAGAGGGGGAAATAGGATTCTAGGGTTATTATAGTAGTAGTAGTACGATAGAAGCTAGCGGTAAGGCTAGATTATAGAGTTCTTATAACTATATATAGTAATTTTAACGAAAAATCGAAGTAATAATAGGTATCTACTAACCTTCTAAACCAAGTAAATATTGTAACGAATACTCGCTGGCTAACTAAACTTGGCTGGGTGTTCGCTGGTTGGTATGCTATGATAAGAAGAAGACTATCGGGTTGTTCACTTGGAAGTGAACTCGTTACTTGTATCAAAGATGTCAAAACTAATATGATAAGATTGATAACTAAGTTGAGCACGAAGCTCCTATCTAATGGCAGACGTGCCAGTCTTATATAGAACCCTCGTTCTCTCGATGTTCGCTCGTTCGACAATCGTACTGGCTAACTGGCGAACTCCTAATATCACGTGATAACAATACAGAGAAATCCCTGGATCGCTTAGCTACTCCAAACGATCCCTATTTGCTATAAGAAACCTGGATGTGCCTGTCGAGGGTTGCGCCTCTTATTATGACAGGTATCACGTGAACACGTGATTCGTGACAAATATACCGAACGAATAAGCGATCTATTAGGAGAAATACCTGAAAGGGGCGAGAGGAAAAGAGGTAGCGTAGAACGGGAACGAGTATAAGGCGCTAAAGAAGTAGGCGTCCTATATTTATACTAAAATACAATACTCCTCCATAAATAAATCGGATAGGCTTTATAATAAGAGAATATTATAGTAATAATAAGTAAAGGAAACTAATATTATATAAGATAAAAACCGAGTAGAAGGTAGAAAAGAAAGTAGAATTATAGTATAATAGCTCTCTATACTCTAGGTTAATAGAAGAGTATATAGGTAGCTAGTAATATATAGAAGTTTCCTAGTTACTAGTATACTTTACTACTTTCGGAAGCTACTAAGGGGTAAGTTATAGGGGATATATAATATACTTATATAGACTACTTCTTTACTTTACTAATAATATCGAGGGCTCTAGTCCCTCTCTTAAGGGTTTAAATTAATAGTATTTCGAAGTATAAGTTATGTATAATTCTATAAATAATTTTATACTCGGCTCTCCTAGTGTCACGGATGCCAACAAAGGATAAAGTGTATACAGCTTTTGAATCAATTGCTAGAACTAAAACCGTAGGTACGAAGAAATCAAACTAAAGAGAGAAGAGAATCTGAAAGGAGCGAAGTTGTTTAAGTTGTTCCAATGCCAAGTCTCGTCACGTGCTTGGCCAAACGAATGAAATCCTGTCAAATGAAATCCAGCTCCGTCACACCTAGGTACCCTTTAGAGGAGAAAGGCTAGTAGAATAGTAGTAGAGGAATAAGATAAATAATAATATTAGGCTTAGTAGATAGAACTAAGTACTCTAATTAAAGTAGTATCTAATTTAATATAAGTATATATAGAAAGGAAGGAAAAGGTAAAATAAAGCTAAAAATAAAGGTAGGTTATAGCTAAGACGTTTCTTTTAGTTAGAATATTATAGCCTCTTCTCCTCTTTTTATAAGGTACCTTACTAGCTACTATATAAGTAGTAGAGACTTATACCTTACATTAGAGAGCTTTTAATAAAGAGAAGATAAGAGACACGTAGGTATATAAAGTATAAGGGTAGGGCTTTTTAAAGCTTTCGTAGAGCCTAAGAATATTCATAGTATTCTTATTTTCTTTATATTCTATACTATATTAGATTATAACCTTATAGATAAATCGTATACTTCTAGGGTAGGCTTTATACCTAGTAGTATAAAATAAATAATAATAATACTAAATCTAATAACTTATATATAAATAGAAAATAAGATAATAGTTATTAGTTATAGTAGGCTATTAGTTTTAATAGGCTAAAAATATAAAATGATTAACTAGTAGACTAATCTTTCAGAAGAATAAATAATAAGAAAGACCTTAGTTTTTATATTATCTATTTATAATATATAAACGTAACTTTAAAAATCTACTAAAGACGTAAACACTATATCTATATCTTGTATTATCCTTTCTAACTTAATCTTAATTATCCCTTTCCGGCTCATTAATAGACAAGACCCTAAATTCGTACGCCTTTTTTCCCGCATCTTTCTGGATCTCATCCTCTGTCTTCGGCTTATAATCCTTAATTCGCCTATCCTACTTCCTCTTATTTTCCTCCTCCTCATTCTTTACTTCTCTTCCCTCAATCTTTTCCCATGGCTTAATCTCTCTCTTCTTAATCGGATCCTCGTGCCCCCCCAAAGATGACCCTTCTACACCTGCATCTTCCATAGCTATATCTGAAGTTGACTGCTCGCCAAGTTTAGCTCGTTTGACAGGGCCACAGACTGCACAATCTTCATCTCTATCAGGAGGGGTTCGGTTCTTTTTGCCTAATAGGTTAGTTGGTGGATTAGCTAACATGTTTCCGGAATTATAAGGAGTTTTTGGGCCGTACTGTGTGATGGGTTTCTAGGGTTATAACTTTTGTATTTTTGAGTGCTAAGAACTTGCCAGTAGATTGAAAGCTAGCTGAGCGAGTTCGTGTTATACACAGAAGCCCATAAAGAAAAAGGTTTTATGAAACTAGTTGGCTGTTTATAAATTCGCGAAGAGTCAGTGGTTGAACAAGCCATATGTGACAGGCTAACATCCAACCAACTTAATCCAGACTAAAAAAAGTTTGGAAGAAAGACGACTCGAAGGAAATACAATATCCAACATCTCAACTGATCATTCACATCAACTACGGCTCCCATTACCAATGTGAGCTTGATACCTACTGTACAATAAAGCAGTTCTGTTTCATAGCTTTCAAACCCTCCATGCAAAGCTTTACAGTTCCCGGCAGAAGCAGCAGAATCGGTTTACGTATCGGAGCGTATTAACTTACTCAAGAGCTGCCGAATTAGGATCACAATACTCTGCAGCTTCTGGATCTGCCTCTACTTCGTAGAATTATCCTCAATCATTCACCAAAACATTAAAGTTCTTTCCAGGAGCTATTTTTGATAATTACTATAGGCTATAGCCAATTTGTCCCTATATTCTCCTTGTTTCCGCACTTCTATGCTCTTCAGTACACCCCCTCTTTCGACTATCTCTATCCCCGATTTTTACAAAGATGAATATCACCATAAGAAGATATCACTTCGCATATCTTATCGCCCACTCCTCCCCTCTAACCTCCTATCCCAGTCTCACAAGACAATGACCAGTCTTCTCCTTCTAATCCCCATCCCAAGTCTTCTCCCCTCATTTCACCACATCCAAATTTAATTCCCCCCCACAAAGCTTGGAAAGCTTGGCCCTCCCCTCTCACGGCTCTCCTCCTTCTCCACTACCTCCTCAGGATCAACTTTCTTAATACGGTCATCATTCACACCCATCAAATCTTTTTTTATGGACGGGTCTTCCGCGGGTGACAACCCCCTCTTGATCTGACCGTTATTTTCATTCTCAGTGCGTGTATTCTTCCTCACATGTCTCGGTCTGTTCCAACTCAAGGGGAGAATTGGAAGTCTCGGGGACGTTAACTTTTTCATATTGCCCCTTAGGATTTCGGCTTTTAAGATTTGGCACCTGCGTGTTTTCTGAGGGCTTTGCTGACATATTTTGAGGATTGGGAATACGTATCTTTGGAAGGGTTTGAGTGAAAATGAGAGATTATCAGAAAAGTTGAGTTGGTCGCATGAGATTGGACTTATATAACGAAGCCTCACAAAGAAATAACTCCTAATGTGGCACAAAACTCATTGGTCCTACCACTATTGGTACACCTTAACGGTCATGAAAACCAACAGACTAACATCCAACCAACCGTAACACCAACATCAAAGAAATAAAGCAACAGCACAAAATTCAACCCCTTGAACCCCAGGCCTATCAAACTCATCAAATCACCACCCAATTCAGCAACAACTCAAGACCTGGTTTTCGCCCTCTCTGGAACTTCTTAACATCCTCTCCTAATTCCGCCCATTCCCAACCTCCCCTATATCATCTTTCTCATCACTCCCCTTTTCCTCAACAAATCCATCCCGCAATTCATCTTCGTTACCATGTCCATCACACTGACTTGTCAACTTTCCAAGATCCACATGATTCTCTGCAGACTCGATATCCGTCGGGGATTCCACAAATCCTTGCCTAAAAATTGTATCGGAGCCGGGTCAGGGACTGTGGCATTATTATCGTCGCCTGATGCGGGTTTGACTGTGATTTCTGGGATTTTCGACATGCTTTTTGGAATCGTGATGATGGTTGTTTGGAGCGGGGAGGTGAGTTGGACGTGGATGTTCTTATGAGATAGTCAAATGTACAAGTAATAAAGTGAATATGGTCTTGAGTAACTTGAGTTATATACCAATTCTGCACAAAGAACTTGATCTATGAATGATTTGTTGGTCATGATAAGCGAGTCAGCCTACAAGCTATAGGTATATAAACCAACAACACCAACGAAAGCCAACCCCAGAGAAATAAAGAAAATCAACCTTCGAATGAGGAGAAATCCCACCACCAACCTAGCACCCATACCAGTCCTTGACACCAACTTCAATCGTGCTCAAAAAACCAAGAAAAGATAGAAAAACCGTTCGTAATCACAGCACATCCCTATTCCCCCTTTTCGCGAGGACGAAGAAAAGCTACTGTTCTACACCCCTAGCAAAAAAAACCGCAAACCATACTTCCCAAAAACCAGGAAAGAATACACAAAAGATACCAACTACCAGACTGAACCTAACTGGTAAAAACTTCCTTCCCCCCTCCCAAGAAGAAAAAGAGAGCTCAAGTGATAACCTAACTCCTTGACGAACAAATACACGAACACCAAACCCAGACCCATCAGAACTAAAAACTCGCTAAATACCGGCTACAAGCTCTACCATATCGCTATAAATCATTCATCCACCTTCTCTTTCCCAGCCTCACGAAACTCTACTTTCTTAGGTATGACGGTTTTCTTCTTCTCTACAGGGTTACCACCTTTCCTATCGCTAACATCACTCGAAATATCCGTCTCCTTCTCTATTTCCTCTTTCTTTACTCCTACCACCTTCGAATCAACATTCTCCTCATCTCCAGATTCCCTTTCACCCTCTTCACTCTCCTCACCCTCTTCACTCTCCCCTTCCACCTCTCCATTCCTCTCTTTGAGCATCGGCGCACGACACAAATAACCAGGCTCAGGCTCAAAATCCGCATCATCCCCACCCCCTTCCCCTCCCCTCTCCCATTCACGTGCAAAACCCGGCGCTCCACAAAGAGCAGGTATACTTTCCATAACGGGAGGCCTACGCGTCGCTACATCAGGCACCTTATTCCCCTTATTTCCCTCATCTTTCATATCTTCCTTATCTTTAGTATCATCCGTCGGAGGTGACAAAGGCGAAACTATACCAGTTTCCGAGCTCGGATTTGAAGCTTGAGGCTGTTCCAAAGTTTCTGATGGGAAATATGCGTGTGGGAGTGTTGTGTTTTCTGGGGCGGATGGTGGGGATACTGGGCTTGTCATCTTTTCTGGGTTGTGTTGGGTTAGGGGGTTTGAGTTATTGTGGGGGGTGGATGGAGGTTGGATTTAGACTTGTTTTGAAGTGAAGAAGAGGAAGGGAAATTTGAGGAAAGGGGAAGGAAGGAGAGAGGAAGTGAAGATGGGGAATTATATAATAGCTTTACACAAAGAAAAATGGTAATCTTGACTTATTGGCCTTCAATGTTTACGTCTTACCTCTATAACGATAACTGGTTACAGTATATAAACTGAAACGCCAGACTTGTAAGGAAGAAATCCTTGCCTTCCCTACAAAGAAATAAAAAACCAAGCAAAACCAAGAGCTTAACTCATTGGCCTAGGCCAAGAATTGCAAGATAGCTAGGGACTGGTTACTAGTCACTGGTTACACAAGCCAACACCAAGACCAACTGACTACCCAACACCAAAGAAAGAAAGAAGAAAAGTAACAAATACACACACCCCTCCTCGTACGAAGCGAACCCCGTTATATGACGAACCCTCACAAAGAAGAATATACCAAAACCCAACTTATCAGCCTCGCTTAGGCAATTACCACAAATTTCCAATTCCATATCCATTGAACCAACCAACAACCAACCAACCAACAAACGCCAACAAACACCAACACCAAATCAAACCATAGAACCCAACACAAACTCCACACAGAAGCGAAAACCACCACCTACTAATATACTAATATACCAATACACCAACAAACCAGCATCCACACAAAGAAACCACCACACCTACATATACCAAAACCCACCTCCAGGCCCCCTTGACTTGGGCAGTAAACCATTAAATGGAATGGCTAGTATGACGAAATTAACGAAGAATGAGGAGGACTAATACTAGGGGACCAACACCAACACCAATTAACCAACCAACAACCAACATGCACACAAAAGCAAACAAAGAATGCACCCTAAGAGTAACACAACCAAAACCATGAATGGACGGGAAATTCCCATCCACCATCTACAGTATCATCCACCTACCCTTGGCACGTAGCCAGCTACCAAAATCACCAAAAGCACCAAACCAATAACCGCAGAGAATCACAAAGTAGAGAAAAGACCACCAAATCCCAAGTCCACCACTTCCTCCCAGTAATCTTACTAACATATCAATTCAGCGCTACCCTTCCCCCCACTACTAATAACATCACAAACCCAACCAAAACACATGCTATACATGAAAATTACGAAAATAGAGCACAGTACAGAGCACTAGAAAGCCTACAATCTTACCACTAATTGATCTCAGACCACTCTTAATCACACCATCCACCTAACCACGCATCCACTCATCCAACGATCCAACCAAACAACCAAACAACCACAAACAAAAAGTGTGTATATAATTAAAATAATATTATTAAAACCACAAATTAGAGAGAGGTCAAAATTCCCACAATGAATATTACCACCATTACACTTATTTCCCCTTTTCGAATAAAATTCCCTCAAGTCGTGTCCTAATGTGACATGATATTCTCTGGGAGCAAGATCCTCCCTCAAAACCCTTTTGTATGACCCATTTTGCCCATTTTGAATTTTTGCCTTTCCATCCCGTCCAATCCCAGGATTCCAAATACACAGCCAGACAGCCAGACAGCCAGTCAGCCAATTAAACCACTCCACTCCATTCCATTCCATACCTGCCCATCACCAGCCAGCCAGCCCCTTCACAAAAAAAAGCCTCAACTGGAAGCAAATCAAAAGCAAATCTAATACTTATCATACCCCCCTTCCCACCTCTCCTTCCTCGGATGCTTAATAGTCGTCCCCGCCGGATGATCCTCCTTCGCAAACCGACAACCAAACGCCAAACAAACCGGCTCCTTGCCCACCCCCTCCCTGGCAACCAGCGTAACACTCGGACAATGATGTCCATAAATACAATACTCCAACTCGCAATCCTGGCCATTCAAGCAGGGATTCAATCTCGTTAAATAGGCAATCGCCTTCAAATCTTCTTCCGTGGCTTTATACTCGTGTTCGAAATGGCATTCGGAGCCCTTCGCGCAGGGTCCGCGCAGGTAATGGTTGTTACATAATTTGTTGTTTGTGGTGCGCCGTTTTATCTTGTCTAGGACGGTGGCGTTTACTATAATAGGGGGATCGAGACCACGTGGGCCAGGCGTCCAGGTCGGTGTTGGCTTGGGGGTTTTTTTGGTTGTAACGGCGGGGACGGCGGCAGTAGTAGCGCTTTTGGAGAAGTTTGTATTTGATATAACAGGTGAGGGAGGGGCAGCTACGGCTCCTGCCCAGGTTGTTGTCGTTGGTGGTGTTGGAAGACGAGATATCAGTTTCTCGGCGCGGAATATGTTGTTGAAATTCAGGACTTGAAGACCGGTTGCCGTGAGCTCGCGGACGACGGGGGGACCTTCGATAATGGTTATTCGATAGCGGTCTTCGGGGGTAATTACTTCGTCCAGGAAGGGGGCGTAGCCTGCGTCATGGGAGATTCCGAGCAGAATTTGTTTGCAGTTATGGTTTCGGAGATGCCAGCGCATATTTTCTACAACATCCAGTTGTTAGACAGCAATTCGTTTGCCAAGGGGAAACGATGTACCTTTTACTTTTGAATCTGCGCGTTCCTTTCCATGGCCCACGTCAATAAAATCAAATGAAGCTTTTCCTTGTGTAAAACCCAACGTAAATTCTCTTAAATCGTCCGAATTGGCAAGGGAGCCATTTCGTCGCATGGCATTCGTTAAACCGCTAACATTGGCACACACCTTTGCCATAATCTCGATTTCATTTGTGAGTTCGCTGCAATGTTGCAGGACCGTATTGCGAAGGAGATTGGCAGCTTGTTTTCCGCCTTCGAGGCCTAGGGCTACTAATTCGTCGTTGAACTGTTCTAAAATTAGTGGTGAACTGGTATGGGATCTGCTCGGACTTACAATCATCCCATCTCCATCAATTAATACCGTAATGTAAGGATTTCGATTCTGCCAGACTTCAGTGAGAGATTCCCCAATGAATCTGCCAGTGGTCCTACCCGTAAAGAATCGCAATCACCATTGATCTGTCCCATCCGTGTATTGGCAACATTCAACTGCAACTGCAAATCCCTTCTAGATTTCCTGGCATCATCCAAATCCAACTGCGCATCCTCCAATTCCTTTCTCAACAGGGCATTCTCACTTCCCAATCGTCGTTCCACGCCCTCACAATATATCAACAAATCCTAATGCCCAAAAGTCAGGAACGCCCCTCAATGGTTGCCGCACAGAAGTGAGTCGCTACCTTAATAAGTTCATCGCTGCTATCCCGCTGCATCTGCAACGCCTGAAATCTCTGCACAAAATCCATGATGGCCATGGGTGGCATCCCATTTGCTGCAGCCATAATTGCCGGCGTGGGATTCATATACGTGGTGGGTGAAGAAGAGGGGATTTGATGAAGGTTTCTACCAGCTATCGTTTCTCTGAAACATTTTGGTGCAGTAACTTTGGCGCGTACGGGGGACGCGCTCTGACCCACCCCACCCACTTGAATGCGTGCTTGTCTTGTGGTTAAGTTTAATTGAAAAATCGGAGAAATCAATCCGTGAAGGCCGAACGTCCGATCCGTAGAATAATCGATGGATTTGGGATGAACAAGACAGAATGGAGGAATGGAGAGAACACAGAGCAGCTGAAAAAAGAAAATATGGTGTGAGAGGTCAGATAGGTGGACATTGGATCGTTTGGCTTCTCCGCCTTTCCTTTTCCTATGCAGGTCACAGGTGCGACTGTAGCTACCACTACATACCACTGCTGCTACTACTACTTGGCCCAGCTTGGTGTCTCGGTGGAGGAGTGAGGACATGCGGTGCTTCAATCACAGAGCGCCATACAACCCTGCCCTGCGACAAGCTACATTGGTCTGATGTGACATATTTCGCCCGGCGGTAGCTGTACGGTAGCTGTATTGCAGCTGTAGGTGCCTGAGGGGTACATGAGGGTGCCATCGATAATGGGAAATAGGAGGTAAATGTATTTCATCACTTCTAGACGCCGGCTTAGAGATGATGGAATGGTTGGCGGATACCTACTGCAATTCCACGGTAAAATCCCAAAAGAAGATGGGCATTTTCCGATTCTTCAGAATAGGGTTGCTCATGTGCACTCCCCCCCTGAAATAAATAGTACCTACTCGTAGAGGTCGCGAAAAGTCTGGGACAACTTCTTTTTTCCGTCTTCACTAACAAGGAGCTCCCAAATCGAAAATGATGTTAGAAGGATTCCTTAGAATATTAACATACAGTAATTCTCAAGCTTTTACCCAGCAATGTACGAAATACTTATTCTTAATATCACCCCACGCTCTCAAACATGACACAAGAACATCGCTCTCAACCAATGTAAGGGAACTGTATTTTGTCTCCAAGGTGTTTCGTAAATATTTGGCAAGTTTATCGGGAAAGGACCAAACCCTTGTTTCGCCCCTAGAGCGTACATAACGAAGCGTCTTTATCATATAAATGACAGACAAAACAGTCTATTCAGATTTTCGGGTGTCAAGATCTCGAGTCTGCATCTTTGTAGACTGATTTAGTAGGCTTGTTAGAGATAGTACCAACACAAAACCTTTATCTTCGCATTCTTTCGAGTCCCGACTTAGACTAGATCAGTTTACATTAGTCGATTGATTTCGGAGAACTAAATTACTAACTTTCTACTAACAGACGAATGGTGAGATCAATGGAGAATATGATGATGTAAAGTCAGCTAAGAAAGGCACATTGCTACTTTTCAATGCTACGGATAATAAGTAGCTTGCCTAGTATGGCTCTTATTTTAAACCTGGAAAATCTTGTAAACCCAAGAGATCAGATTCAGTTGTTGTGCATAACAAACATTATTTCCTAGTATGCATTCACTTAGAAATAGAACATTTGAAGAGAATTATTTCATTTAAAGCACCTCGTACTAAAGTGAAGGTGAATCTGGAATGCCAAAACTCTTGCAATGGTATTACTAGCAGGATGTCAACTCCAACTCCTGCAAATCTTACTGCATCTTCTCACTGCTTCTTAGGATGAAAGAACTGGATGCATTATCAGCTCATAGTAGCTCCAGAACTTTTGCTCGATTATTTTTCCCCTTCCCAGAACGACAATCCAGCAATTGAATATTAGAATGAGATACTGCGTTCTCTGAAAGTGAATTTACATCCGAGGGTCTGTGCGACTTCGGCCTGCTATCGTCCAGAGCCCAAGATACGCAAATACCACGTGCTCTAAGTATATTACCTATACCAGCATCGAATTGGAGAATCCGTTCTTCATGAAATAACACTTTCTTGAAATGCACAAATAGAAGATGTTTTAGCCAAACCACTGTAGTCTTTTAATTGTAAAGCTTAGATGCAAATCCCAGAATCCCATGCCCCCTTCCCTCAGAGAGGGGTAACTTACATTCACTATCTCGACTTATTTGAGATAAGTTTCACTAACCAATCAAATCCTTGCCCTCTTTTTACTGGACAGGGAACATGCTTTTAAGTTTAACAGTGTGGCTTAGGGCAAGTTTGTTGAGAGCCGTTACCGCCGAAAACTCGCTTAAAGCTCTCGTTTGAGCAGCATAAATACCCCTCTTCAACCTTCTAGACCTCCTTCCCTTCCTTCCTTCCAACAAACTTTCTTTCGATCGTCATCTTGCCGACATCTTCCTGGGCAGGTCTTTCCTGAGACCCCCAATACCCTCTAGATCTGTGACTAGACTTTCCAAAGAAGTATCTCTAGATCTTCTTCCTTTGCCTCGGGTTGCGTTTACATTCCTTTGTTTCCCCACCGCAATCCGAATTCAGTTTGGAACTCCCCTTATCCATCCTTCATCTTCATCCCTGAAGCCAAAACATGAGTACAACAACAGTTGTGGAGTTGGAAAACCTCCAATCGAAGTCGCGGTATCGGGCAGCACAGTTCTCCGCAACCTCCACAAAGAGCCAATCGTCCTCGACGACGGCGCTACAAACGTCGCAACCGAAGAATACGGCACCCTCCTCGACTTACACGGAAATGAGTTCACACCCCCAACCTACACAATCAAGCAAATCCACGACGCTATCCCAGCGGAATGTTTCGAACGCAGCATCCACAAAGGCACCTACCACGTTCTCAAGAACCTCTCCCAACTGGCTCTCGTCTTTTACTTTTACCAACAAGTACCTCACACCTGAGAATGTCCCATCGTATGCTCTTCGTGTCGCCCTTTGGGGATTCTATACCGTCGTGCAGGGAATTCTTGGTTCGGGTTTGTGGGTTTTAGGTCATGAGTGTGGACACCAGACTTTTTCGAAGTACAAGGTGCTTAACGATAGTGTTGGTTGGGTGTTGCATTCTATCCTACTGGTTCCTTATTTCTCCTGGAAAATCACGCATCGGAATCATCACAAGGGAATTGCTAATATGCGTACTGATACCTCTTGGGGTTCGTAGTTTCCTTCGTATTTCCCTCACATTTCTTCATCTATCAGATAAGACAAGAATTGACTGCTCCCATTTCCTCGAAATTTACTTTCGAGGAAGAAAATAGAGCAATCGCTAACACATTCCAGTTCCATTCACTCGCCTTGCTTACACAAAATACTTCGGCACCACCTTGGAAAACGTGATCGAATACGCAGAAGACACCCCAATCTACACTCTCTTCTACTTGATCGCTCACCAACTAATCACATGGCCTGTCTACATGACTCTCATGGCCGGAGTCGGCGACGCCTGGTTCGAGAAGCAAGAGAAGATGAAAGGCAACCCCAACCCACCCCGCAACGAAGATGGGACCATCGTGCAGAACTACGAGTTCAGAGGCTCCCACACGAATCCGTATAGTCCTCACTTCACACCAAGAGATGCAAAGTTCATTTTCATCACCGATATTGGTTTGGCTATCACATGGGCGTTCTTGTTGTATGTGGGATACAATTATGGATGGGCGAATATTGCGGTTTGGTATGGGATTCCTTATTTGTGGGTTGATCATTGGTTAAGTAAGTTGCCCTACGTGCCTACAAACCTCCCCGCACTTCAATTCAAATACTCACAAGAAAACAGTCTCATTAACCTACCTCCACCACGTCGATGGCACTCTCCCACCCTACAACCCCAGCCAATGGACATTCGTGCGCGGAGCCGCCGCAACAATCGACCGCGACTTTGGCTTCGTCGACCGTTGGTTCTTCCACAACATCATCGGGACACACGTCTTGCACCACCACGTCTCCATCATTTCGCACTACCATGCGGCCAGGGCTTCCGAGGCGATCAAGCCGGTGATGGGTATCCATTATCGGGAGGATCAAACCGGCAAGGGGATGTGGAATTTCCTGCGCAACTTTTGGAGGAATAGTAAGGCTTGTTCTTGGGTGGAGCCTTCGGAGGGTGCTAGGGGTGGCGGGAAGGACATTTTGTTTTATAGTAATAGGATTGGGGTTGGTGTTAAGCCTGTGGAGATGAAGCTTGAGTGAGGTCTTGAGCTCCTCCTTGGTCTTTTCTTTGCTTCAAATACCCTTTTTTGAGTTTTGGAGCAGAGGGATGGCTAGGTTTACCTTTTAAGTTTCTGCTGGGTTGAGGGGATGTGCATTACTACTTGGCTTTCTGGCGCTGTATTTTTACATCATTATCATTGATTGGGAGGCCGCTGGAGCACTTGATGTTTTGACATCAGGGATTTACAGCTTTAGACGTTACGATTTAGCAGACCATCAAGAACGGCAGAAAATTAGATTCGAAAGACTCAGAATAGCATTAGCTGTATCAGACTACTGGATCTGAAATTCGTGCAGTGAAGACGTGATAACTTTGTGCGATGGATTTCTTGAAATCTGGAGGTCTTCTGTGATACATTCACAAGCACCGTTGCTATTACCAAGCTAACAACCCGATCAATCAAAACCCAGTCCACCCCCTACGACCTCTTTCTCCAAGCGAACCTCGATTATCTTCTTCTTTGACCTTCAGCCTTTTGGTCAAAACTTACTGTGGCAAAATCAATCCATATGTCTGCTGGAAAAACTTCCCAACTCATAGTGTCCCATTAATTTGAAACTGTGACCATTTTCGACAATCTCCAATATACAACCTTGAAAAGGATCTTGAACGTTTTTCAAACTTACAGGAGGTGACCATCTCAAGCCTATGGACCTGATACAACATCTAGCAGGCCTTGCCAATTTTGTTTGATGCTGGCATTAAATGAATTAACAAGCGGCAATTCGTTGAGTCTTGATCAGAAGGGATTTGAAGCCTCTCAGAGCCACGGGAAAAGATATTCGCATACGGTACAGAGCGCGTCTGTTATGAAATATCCAGATGAGACTCATGCGTGGAATTTTGCGAAATTGTCGATTCTTGTTTCATGAGCTAGGTATCGTGGACGTTGACTAGTTCCTCTGGTGAAAGAATTGTGAATCAGTGTTTTGTTAGGATGTTTGAAGAGGAGGGGGAACAGAAATAGAATACGAGAAATACACTAGCTCTACACAGGATTCAAAACCACGTCACTATCGGAAATCACTCAGTTCACAATCTCGTCTACACATAGCCCACCCAAACACCACCAAATCACCTTCCCTAACCTCCAAAAAGCATACCAAAAAGCACACCAGCAAAGCTCAAGGCCGATCTCCTCTTGTTATTTCAAGGAAGAGTTCAAGGCCTATAGAGAATCCCAGGGATAGGGGTAGGGATTCTCCAAGTTAACATGCTTACGGCGATGTGTACGGCTCACACTTGTGCCCCACTACACTTGCGAATCCTAGGTCTGATGTGTTTGCTTGGGGTTATCTCAATGGCCTCGATGAAGGCGTTTTTGGGGTTTGTGGGTGAGGTGATGGGGTGGATGGGCTTATGTGGAATAGGCTTATAAGGATGGGATTGGAAGTGGGAGTGGGAGTGACTTTGTTGTCTGATGATTGTTGTGGCAGTCGGGCTGTAGTTTCGCGGACTTTTGAAATTGTTCACCGAGAGATGGTGTTCTGTAGGACATATGCCAGATCACAAAAGGTGGAGCAAAGTAGTTTCTTTGGGTATTTGGAAATTCTACTTTCGCCTCAACGGTCCCGACAAAGATTGAAGCAGTCTCCTTGATACATGTATCAGCTATCTATCTTTGTACACCCGTAGATCAGTGAATCCAAGTCTTCTATCCCAAACCACATATCCCCCAAAAAAAACAGTAAAACATCAAAAAAAAAATAGTCCCCCAGATCCCACTCCTAGAAGTTAGTAAGTGCAGTAGTGCCGCTGGTTATACTGTGTTTCAAGCAACAGAACCTGCGTTTGGCTCATAATCCTCAATTTCCCACGATAAGTCTGGATTGTGCAAACACGACGGCTACGACTCATCAACTTTTGCCCGAAGGCGGTGGTGGTTGTGCTACTCTAGGGTATAAAGGTGTTGTTTTGTTTGGGTAAAGTGGTTTAGCCTGTTAGCGTGGCTGGTAAGGTACAAGAGCGATATCCAAATCGCCAGGAAATACTGCCACGACTTAGCGAGCAAAGTTGAAGTGATGAGCGAAATGGCTCCACGAGTCTAACACCAATCGCATTGTGTCTGGAATCAAATTTGGCTGCTGCATCTGTCTCTTTCGAATAATCCCGCTCCTGTAGTCTCAATGGCTTAACCAACCCGTCTTGTTTCCAACTCATTCACTCTGACCCTTCAGCACGAGATGTGGCTGAAAACGAAGGGACTTGCTTGATATCAATTCAAGGAATGAGGAACTTGGAGAAGAAATGCTGACGGATCAACAAATCCCATTCTAGGAATATCGCGTGCGAAAGGGGACCTTGCTGATCTGTTGGCTGTGTGCGTCTGAAAGTCTGCAGGTTTGAATCAAGGATTCCAGAGGGACGATCGTTGTTTTTTGAGATCTGGGAAAGTTATATGTTGGAAAGTATGAAAGAGGAGAGTGGTTGAGGGGAGATTGTTTGTTCTGAAGCGGATGTGTATCTGTTCAAGTGCCGACAGTTGAGTTGTTGAAGAATAGTCTGGAACATGCTAAGAGTGTTCTGCATATTATCCACCTGAGAGCCGATCCAAGCGGCTATGATACAGGTTGCTATTCAACCAAACGGTGGCAGAGTCAGTTTGCGTGTCGTATAATTGAAAGACCAAACCACAAGCACGAAAGAGGCGGAGGCCATAGAGTGGCAAAGTTAAGCCAAGGTAACGAATAACACTCCAAAACCTAACCAAAGAATCCCCTTATCCAGTGGAAGAAGTCGTAACCCGCGGTTGCTGCAAGTTTTAAGCATCCAATCGTAATTCAGTGGTAGATATCAATACACAGAAGTTCAATCTATTCTATATCTGCGATTTGTACTTCAATATTTTGCCTCAACCCGGTCTAGCCTGAGAGCCAAAGGGATTGGGGTAATTATCAGGCCCATAATTGAATCCTTGCTTGCCTTCGGTGGAAGCTATTTTATTGGCAGATCTCCAAATTCCATGGTATTATTGTCGACTCTCACAGGCAGATCGTCAATATCTAGGAGTCTCAATACAAGAATCCGTAATTCAGTAGCTGAATATGCCTTTTTACACAATCGCTGTCAAGATTCCATCCTTATTGTTTTTTGATTCTAAGATTAAGGAAGGGGATGCAAGAGAATGGTGGTTGGTGAACCTAAAACATTCGTAGCAACCTGCCCAGTCTCCTCAAACTTAGCCTCATCGCCATTTTGTATTCAAACCAACTTAATGTGTAGATTCAAAGTTTATCCATATGCTTACAGGGGCTAGAAAGACAAGTATTAGTCTGTAATATGATTTTCAGTACAATTTCAGGATTGGAAGGCAACAATAATTTTAGAAAATGGCTCAATATTGTGGGGAATAATATGCCAATTGCGTTATAGGTAGATTGAGAAGATGAATATCAAGAGAAACCTATTGCTTTGTATTGGGTTGAAAGGGTATTGGGTACTGAAGGTCATAGAGAATTGATTGCATTGTAAAAGGTAGCTATCTAAGGTGTTTATATAAAGAGTGTAAGGTTTAGGCAGACATGAAGCATTTAGGCAGCAGAACTATAAGTGGATCAAATAAGGAAGTGGAGCAAAAGAGAAAGTAGACCCAGCACAACACTTTGTTACAGATACCACTGTCTGGCTGGTATTGGTAGGTGTTGAGGATAGCCACGAAGAAGATGGAACTGAACATCCTGTACATTTGTCAGAGATCCAGTTGGAGTGTTATAGGAGGAGCGGATGTTATTCAGTAAGGCGAAAGTTGTTAACGGATATTTAGTTTCTATTTAGTTCTCTAACACAAAGAGGTCTGAAGGTTGGGGCGAAGCATCGGTGTTGTCAAGCAAGACTCCGAGAAAAGGTACTAGCCGTCACTTAGACCTTGTACAACACAGAAAGCAAGGATGTTTCTCATTGGCAGATTTTTATATTCCATTACTGCGCAAGCCTTTGCAGAAGTAGCTAGCAAGATCAAATTGGTTCCATCACTTTCCATAGGCAAATCCTTGAGCGAAACACCAGTATATAGACTCTGACAAGTGCGAGTAAAAGCTCCCTTCCTTCCTTTATATTCCACACTAAAATTCCTAATTCAAATGTTGGCGGTCAAATTCGACGAGAGGACAAGGACAGAAAGGAGAATGCGATTGTTGAGTATCCTACCACCCAGTTTGTTAAGACTGAACCAATTGCGCTACAGGGTTTTCGCAGCTCTTACCTCAATGCTAGCTCCATAGCCTATGCAGACCTAATTGAGAGCAAGTTTGTGATGGCTGCTGGCAAAGTTTGTGTCTCTTATTCCAAATCAAGTCAATTCGTGACGTCGAAACCCAGAGAGCTCAGAAAAAGTGTGCCCAGACCAGAATTATAGGATATAGGAGGAGAAAAAGGTGCATTATAGGTTGGCTCTTGCGAACTATTGATGGTACTTTAGTACTGGAATTACCATTCAAGGCGTGAGGTACTGCAATTTTCCAAACGCTTACCTCCTAGAACCCCCATGTCCAGCTGGTTTGAGTAGAATTGGTCAAGACAAGGAACCATTGGCATTGATCAACGATTTCGAAGTCTATGGATGGACTTATTCTGATGTGAACGGGGTGCCTCGGACTTTTTGAAAAGACCCTTCACTGATGTAATGCGTCAGTTACGCATCTCAATCCACACAAACACTTCAACCATACACTTCTTCCAGCATTTCTGGCACTTTTCCTTGATGCTTCGCTCGTAGTCAATGGCAGTCTCTCTCCTATCAAACTCCTGCGTGGTGTCAGAAAACACAACTTCATGAGATCGGACCCAGAAACAGAGGAGAGGGTGGGTAGGGGAAGAGATCTGGAAAAGGGAAAGGGCGTTGCAAACCCTTGGTAGGGAAAGAACATACCGCAGCCTTGTCCTTGATGAAGTTATCATGCAAAAGGCCAACTGCCTCCCCATTGAAGGAAAGATGTCTCCCTGATAGTTGCATCTTTCTTTGGACCTTCCTTTCACTGTTTGAATTTTCTTGGATGTGGATGGTGTTCTGACTTGTATGCGCAGGTCAAAAGAATCACTTCTCAACCCTTATCTTCAAGGGATTTCACCACCAACAGACAACTACCGTCGCCTCTCCCTGCCTTCTGTGAGCTTACTGTTGCCCTCAGGTGTCAAGCAATGTCAATTCGGAAATTACCCCCTCAATCTCCGATTGAGCTCCTAGTATGGTCCGATTGATGCCTGAGTCCCTTTTTGTGAACAAAGACAACAGAACTACATAGAAAATTGCGTGTAAATTGTTTGAGCAGGTCATGGATTGAGATTTTGGCCTGGCGTGAAAATAACCGATGGCTTGCGCACAATGGAAATTACGTGACCGACCTGCCTTCTTTTCCCAACCCCGCTCCTCGCTCCTCAACACTTAACGATACCATCCTCCACGACAACGCAATTGACAATCTGACAACAAGGGCTGTGCAACTTGACCATGGTCTACAGTCTTCAAGAATCAGGTATGCAAATACCTTCAAACTTCTCATCTCGCTAATTGCAGCTGCAGCGAGCCAGAACTTCAGGAGATCGGCCCACCGTAACTTGTACGCGCTGTCCTGAACCCTTCTCAACGTCACCCCACCACTCCTTGACCTGTCTGGTGCCATTAGCAACGATTCAAAGGTACGTTGATTTCTTTCTCGCTTTGTCATTTGCTATCCCTAAATCCTTCCCCTCCCTATACAATCACCGGTCGCCCTGTTGATCTTCCTCCCTCAGTTACAGTACGACCTTAACTGACCAGGGACCACTTTCTCAACAGTGTTAGGCTCCTGCAAACCCCATCGCTAAAGCAATGAGCGCTTCTCTAGCTACCATCGACAATCTCCTATATCTGCCCCTTTCTTGTAAGCGATCTCGGTGTGAGATATACCGAGCAACCAACCACATACTGACGCTTGCTGTCTCGGTAGTCTCTCCCTATACTCAAAGTCTGTTGGTCCATCTGCGAGCACTTACCAATCAAAACAAAAGATTTACGCGGAGGCCCTGACGTTCAGACCTGACAAAGGCTAGAAGAAAGGTCAATTAGTAAGATGTTCTATCTCCTTCGACACTTCGCTATCAAACCTTTCTAACTCATTACTTAGCATTACAGAATGTCTCCCAAGTCTCAAATTTTGCGAATTTGCTTCAGATTCTTATCTGCAAGCACCCATTCTCCATCAAAAGCAACAAACTAGTCATAGTGGTCAACCAGCAAAGGCAACATACCCTGTGGCCTTTCTCCCTCAACATCTACAAGGGCTCCACTTCTCCCCGCTTCTGCAGGTATTGTATACCTCTCAGCCCAGGATGAAGACTGACAAAGACCCAGATGAGACCATGCCTCACAGCTGGGACGTCTTGGAACCCGACTGGGCATCTGGATACTCCAGCGGGCTTTGACCACCTTGCAATAGGAACACTTCAACATATCCATCTCAATTGTGGTTATCTCATTCTTCAGGCCTAGTCTGCAATCTTACTTGCTACTGAAGATAGGGACACAAGTACCCCTTTTCAATGGCTGTGAGGAGGTTGCGCCACTCGTACGAAAGCGCGGCTCCACCTCTGTCTCTAAGTTTCCCTAACCCCTTCCTCCCTATACTCCTCTATCATCCTTCAGCAAGAAGGGTACTGCGAGCGTATTGAGCCACTTCGCAGGGACGAAATCTCCCCAACATTTCCTATCTCTCCTGTCTCGCCAGTCTCGCCACCGTCTCTTGAGGTTAGCCTCCCAATCAAGAAGGAGAAGGTTATCTCGCCAATGTCAGAGTCGCCAGCTCTCCCAATACTTACCGCAGATGACCGCCGCACTTGCTCCGCGACTTCCTCCGTTGGCTCGTACCGGGGCAACCTTTTAGCCTCCCTACACTCCTCTATCACTTGTCAAGAAGAGCTTGACATCTTCTGTTGTCCCCTACAAGGGAACCCCATTTGGCATGTCCGTCGCATCTGATGAAATCCAAGCTAAGACCGCATCAATCGGAGACACTCCGCAACTTTTCGTGGAAACTTCCAATGAAGTTCGAGTCTTCATGAGAGCGATCCACTTAAGTTTCGCCTAAACGTTGGTAAACCCAAGCACCATCACCAGATTGAGATGGCAGAGTGTCTGCGCTGTGAGGAGGAGATGGAAAAGGATGCGTGCCTTTGCCCTCCCCTCCACTCCTCTATCAGTCGAAGAGTCTTGTGTACTATAGATGAAATCGTTTGAATTTATCATTATTTTATTTTCATGCCTGAGAAGTGACCTTGATGACTGTGGTTTTGCGTCCGCAATGACGTTAAACCACACTGGCGATTCGCAAGAGAAATCTCTATGCGTATAGGACGGCACAAACCCTCCAGGAAGATTCCCTCGGTGGCAGTACAGTTCGATACCACTTGCCAGCAAATCACGGTATGTCCCCAACTCATTCTCATTAAGTTCCCGCTCATAAAACGTTATAGGTACATGATGGAGAATCGCTGTCTCATTCCCAAGAACGTCATTGAAACCGCTCTGACTGTTTTTCTTGAATACACTTCTCAACTCGAATTTCATTTTCTTCATTCTCGGCGTAAAACACTTGCGCACCTTGGGCATTCTCTTCACCTCCAATTTATCCCGCATACGGAAGACCTCAGATTTACTGGCAGGTACAACGTGGCAACTAGCAGCGAGATGTTACACTTACCTGATGTCAAACCGGGCGATCCAACAATCAGAACCCCACACCTTTTTACTGCAATGGAGTTGGGAAATCTTTGATTACACCAGGTATCCGAGCCAACACCACGATTCCTGAAAATCCTACACATCTTCTCAACATGAAGGTACAGAGCCTTCTTCTCGTCGGGCATCAGCCTTGACTGATTCGATTTCGATACATTGTACATCCGTAAGTAATCTTTAATTGGGGCACCGAATAGACCGCTAATTGTTTTGTTAGATCTGGAAAGGAGGCTTCGGCCAGATTTGAGCTCGACCCTGCTACTGTCAGCAGACGAGGGCACGATGTGGAATGAATAAGCGGAACTAAGGAGAGAAGCTAGCTAAGAGGCGAGTAGGGAGTCTTTATAAGACGACCCTGACCGAGTGGAAGGCTCTAGAGTACTAGGCATCCACCTAGGCTACCGAGACAGGGGGTCAGAGACAGGATTCCCCATTGTCTCGATCCAAGTTTTCAGAAACACAATGTATCAGAGCAATGATGGTCGTTCTATGCTGAAGATTCAAGAGGTTATTAATGTGTCAAAGAGCTACGGTTGGTTCGACGAGTTTTTGTTGGAATTTAGGTGCCATTTAGCGGCGGTTAGATCAAGGGATTTTGAACTTTCTGCTACCAAAGTCCTGCACGGCTCTCACAATTCCTCAAGTCGATATGGACACTGACGACCATCGAGAGATGGTTGTCAGTGTCATCACGCGATACCGAATCTTGAAGTTCATAGCTGTCAATGTCATCACGCAATCCCGAATCTTGAAGCACAGAAGCGGAAAAGATTCGAGAAGCAAGACGATACGAATCATCGTTGCACCATGAGTGAGCGATAACAGCCAGCTGCTATCGTCAGTATCCAGGCTACCAATGAAAGGAAGACAAGCTTGGACTCCAATAGCACCTTCTGCATTCTCACTGTCGTATCATCACTGTCGCATCCTTACTGGCGCCTCATCATTTCCATCAAGGCTAATGGAAAGGTTTCCACCCCAGTTTCAAGCCTGCCCTGTGCCTTTGTTTTGGAGGTCCCAGCTAAGTTGACGCGCCTGCATGCCATATGAATAGGTGGGCAGGTGGCGTCATTTCCATCAAGGCTAATGGAAAAGTTTCCACTCCAGCTTCAAGCCGGACGTGGATTACCGATCCATTTCCTTCGCGGTCTACCAGTGGGCAATTTACAAGGAATCGGAGCAGCGGGTCACCTACTTGTATATAGTTGACCACAGAATCCACGTCCATTCAAATGGCAGAGAAACAATTAGTGTAGTCTCGTGATAATATTGTCTATACTTGGTTTTGGAAAGGGGGGGGCTGGGCCAAGTCAAAACAAGCGAGGTAAGTTGACGACACTATTGCTACTGATCTCTTGCTGTTCAATTGATGTGCGAGCTAATGGCGCCTGGTATTGATGATGTGTGTTGTACCCTGATTGTCGTTTTCTTTCACTTCGTCAAGGAAGCCAATCAAGCGGCGACGCGATGTCGCCTACGCAACCGAGAGTCCCCACAAAACAGCACAATATCACCATCAGTTCAGATAGCTCAACCATTTCCGAGCGCAGTGTTATCAAACGTCGACCAATGCACGCGTTGTTCTCTGGAAGAATCTGTTCAACGTGGCTACTCATAGCGATATTGTCGAAATTCTTCCTGCGCCTGCAAACATGGCTAATCAATCTGCTGGGCTTGAGTCGTTCAACATAACCACGATTCTCGACAAATCCCCCAACATGAGCTCTGATCCGCGCTATGAAAAGATCATCTCGAACCCTGCACCTTCTGACTCGTTCCCTATTCGTGTTGATATCAACGAGTTGTTCAAGGATGATGAGGAATACGATCGTACCTTCGAGTCGGTAAGTCAATTTCTGTCGCGACATTTCCTTCAATTTTGTCCATTCAGACATGGGACTCAATCAATTTCTATTGAAGCAAGGCGCTAACGAGAAAGCAGTTCATCAGTAATATGCCAGGACCAGAGGAGGATGCCACCACCGTTGAGAAATGGCTGCGAACCTGGTTCGGCGCCACTGGTGCCTTCCAATACTACAGCAAGGGCGTCTTGCAATTTTGCAAGCGCGTTAAGCTTTCGGGGAAAGATCTGGGAGAAGGAACGCCAATTCACATGGTACACATGGCGGTTCGATTCCGTCAGCGCAATTAGTAAGCCCTCTCTTCCTGCCTCGTTAGCAGGCGTATAAATTCCTATCTAGATCTCGTACTAACCACTTCCAGCTTCTACGGTGGCAAACTAATGCCAGACATAATCGTCGCCTCGATTTACGACTACGTCCAACGCGCTCGCCTAGTCAACCAATTGCGTCGCGGTCTCCCGGTTGACATTGAGTACTTCAATTGTCTCAAAGCGAACGAGAAGGATCTCCTGGCTCGCGAGAGCATCAAGAAGGTTGTGGAGGATAAGGCGAGAGCCGATATCCTGGAGTATCTGGAGGCGCGGGGATTTGAGCTGGACAAAACTGAGGATCCGCTCGGTGACCACTTGGTGGAGGAGGCGTGGCGTTTTAAGGGGGATTTTAAGGAGCGCCTTCGGGCCTTGAAGAAGGAGAGAGTGAGGAGGAGGGTTTCCGCGGAGTTTTTGGAGTTTTGAGGGGGGTTGGGCGGTTGTGCTTGTTTTTTCTTTTCTTCTTTTGCTTGTTGAGATACCCGGTTGAATGAGAAACCCTTGTTGTTTTTGGTGCTGAGATTAAGCGGTACTCTATTTTGTTCGTGAATTTGTGAAGTTTACGTGAATAACCCTGTTCGTTTCTCCAATACTCGACAGAATATCTAGAAGATATTATTATACTAAAGCAATAGAATAATAGAGTTATAATAGTAAAGTTTCTGATACTAATTCAACTTAATTAGAAGCTAAAGTCTCCTTCACTCGCACAAGTCTGTATATTACTCTCTACAACTCTAGCCTCTTGGTATAATTAGATACTATAAACATCTAATGAAGAACAAGTATATACTTATATACTTAAGAATATTCTTACTTCGCGTAAGTTTTATAATTCTCTTTACTTTTTCTATACTATCTAGTATAATTAAGTATACTCGTCTAATGTTCAAAAGAATTAGTTTAGAACTTTCTTTCTTACTTATTTAAATCTATTTCTTACGTAAGTTCTTTCTCCTTTCTTTACTAGTCTATACTAACTTGTTAAACAACAAAACTTAAGCTAACTTATATTAGTAAAAGAATCTCTAGTAATTTATTTAGAGAATAAATAACAAAAAGGGTACTATAGAGCTATTTACTAATATATGAATGAATAAACAATAGATTATGGAAGCTAGTAGTCCCTTAACAGACTCCCGGTCAGAAACCCACCAGTACATACCCCCAGACCAGCCGATCGACTACGATTAAAAAAGGAGTTCGTGGGTTGGGTTTGTTCCCAGTCATGTAACGATGGCCTGTTGGCCACGACGGAGATGTATGATCTCCAAAGAGGAGATGATGACAATAGGTGAAGATTCTTCAGTCGTGTATCCCATGTCGAAGTTAATTAGTTTTTCAGGAAGAGGGAGGGATATTTCCAACGGTGATGTCGCCTCGGATGAATCGTTGGTCGAAATCGAGTCCTCTAGGGCATCAGAACTCGTGTCCAAAGTCTCCTCGGATAAATTGTTTGTGGAACTCTAGTCGTCTAGGGTAGTAAAACTCATATTCAAAGTTGGCTCGTTGACGATCTGGCCAGTGGGAGGACCATGGCGCTCCAAAACAACCAAGTTCCTTTTAGCTATGATTCATTAGAAGATATCCAGAGTGCGGCTTCTTCCACTGTACTTGCAATCAATGCTTTCTAACACCTTGAGAGCTCCGGAAATCTCTGCCAAGTAGTACAGGATGGAAAATATCCTCATTATTCCGAAGCTCCCTAACAATCTTGTCGGAATTCACATGGTACCAGCTGCCGATAATCACTGTAATTTGGTGGAGGCAATAGCAGTGATAATTAGTAAGCTGATTCTTTGGGAATATTAGTAAAAATAGATGTTCAAGACCTCGAGTACTTGGTGAATCGAAAGTGGTCTTGTCTCTACGAGACAATATGTCGTTCACTACAACCGAGGGCTTGATGGGAGAGAGCATTTGCTATTATCACCACACCCTTTCTCGTCCGGCGGGTCCGCTACAAAAGAGTTTCTGGACCAGGTCAAACTTTCGAGCTCTATTGAAGACTCGGTCTGCGTCATATTCATACCGCAATTCCTGTCTCTGCTTGTTGATACTGTGGGCTCCCTCGATATCCTGATTTATATTAAGTCATGAATATGATTAGATTATTCGCTTATTCGACTAAACTAAGGTCAACCCAATGTACACAAAGCCACCTAAAGAAACTCACTAAATGGGTTTACTTGAACTGTATAGGCTGCTTAGGTAGCTAGTAAATTGAAAGTCCGTCCCCTCGCCCTTTATGTAGAATTTAGAGCCCCATCAATTTCGTAGCAAACGTAGTTACTATTCAGACAGAAAGTTCTTTTTCTCAAGCTCTTATTGAGGGGAGAGTGGGGTAGGCGGATCTCATTAAAGATGAGGGTATCTGTTAACAATCGGAGCAACCCAATTGCCAAATTTTGGGAAGGTAAGACGTTGGAATTGAAGATCAAGACAAAGCAATTGGAACAACGGCTCGAGGATTGAAGATGTCTAAAAAGATCCTGATGTAATTAAGTACAATATTACGACTGCAATTCAGAAATCGACAGAGTGGTTGGAGCGCAGACCTTATATTAGTAACGGTCTTCCGTTCATTTCGTTGCAGAAACCAACTCTAATCTAAGAGCCCATGAGCAATTTAACGTTTTGAATAGATACATACACTTGTATTCCATATCACTATACGTTACTCTCTTCCACATTGGCAACCACAGTGTCTTCTGAATCCCACTCTTCCCCAGTCTCAACTTCATTTTCCTATGAGTTCGGTAACTGAAAGTCCGTCAAAACCTGGGCTTTTATGTATGTTTTGCGAGTTGAGATTCTGAGGGCACTTCAAACATTTTGGTTGTGTGCAACTGTTCAGAAGTTCAAGTATTCGATGTGGTATCGACTTGCGAGACTTTTGTGTCCGAAAATTGCCAGGAAATAAATTTCATGGAATCTGTATGTGTATTAGCATTTTATTAGCGTACATCCGCGTTCTCCGACCTACTGTCCCTTCATATTGACCAGGTATATACATACTCAGCTCCCGTAAGCCAATCTCCCGGATCATTGCCTAAGCGGCTAACGCTGAAATCAGAATTTGGCTTACCCCAAGCGATCCGCATTCGATAGCCCCAAATTGTATGTATGGCAAGGCGACGCGGAGTCTACACTCATAAGTTTCATTGCTTAGGACTTGAATGCTCCTTTCCCAGTTGTGATCTCAGCTTTGGTATGGGCATGAGGTTCAGAAATTTGGAAACTGCTTTCTGGTGTTCGTGTTACGTTGCTTTCGTTGGGCCAAGTTGCAATCCTTGAATTTTGTAGGTGGCTATCGACCCTTGGCTGATCAATGACAAACGCACCCAACACTTGGAGTCGCTGCTTTCATCAGGAACGAACCTCGAGATGGTCAAGAACTTGTCAAGTGCCATATATCCCGTACTGCTGACAACTTCAAGGGTCTCGAGACAGATTCAGAACTGAGTATGGAGAATTTGTTTGCCGATTCTTGATTGCGAGGGCTAAAGTTGTTCAAAGACACCACATACATATATTATAGAACCCAGAGTCCATAGATACACCTTCTCAGTGTTGCGCATACTCAGAATGTTCAGTTGTGAGGCCTCCCCCGGTTTCGTCGTGGTGCCACGGTCGGGTCTCCTTCAGGCTTTGAACACGCTGTAGCTTCAGGCTGTTGTCGACTAGCTACGACATGCAACGAAACTCTCAACAACTTCTTTTTGATTGGTTAAGTCATGTAACCTGTTACCGAAAGACGTACTGTTGGCCAATCAACGAATGTTCGCCTAATTCGGAGTTTCGCGAGGGTGAAGCAGCACTATATTTTCTGAAGTGAATATAAGATAAAGGTCTTTTTTGTTGCATGTCGCAGTTAGCGAGGAACATCCTGAAGCTACAGGGAGCTCAAAGCCTGAAGGATATGCCTAAGATACGATGACTTCCCGCACACTCAACTTGCGACGAGGTGGTTGATTTTCTATTCTTCAACTCGACGCTCCTTGCGATCGGAGCTGTAAGCACACCCCAATGCAGCAAGATTTTCTCTACTTAGGAGTGATCAAGTAAACGGTTGAATCTTCTCGGTATCAATTGTCTTCGTGAGGAACGGTTTCTCAAACAGTCGCGATATCAACGTATCATGGAATTTCTGATAAACCGCGAATTAGCAGCCTAGGGAAAAGATGAGTATTCTTTCACCTTGATGGATAGATTATTAACAGCAAGATGATTACATTTCGCGGCTGTAATTCAAGAAAGTATAGGTCCTAGAAGAAATAATTTATCAACCTTTTATCAAGCTAGGTAGAAGTATAGGTAAAAATACGACTACACCCGCCACCCAATCCACTCATTTCCATCGCCCAAATGCACTCCCATTCTGACCACCAAAACCCCCTCAACTCAAGAATACTCCAAAAATAAAAATAAAACATACGAAACTAGACAAGAAAACAGCAAAAGGTCTCCACCACCCACTCTTCAAGGGATGGTGGCGGGCAGGACCAGCTAGCCACGCTATTGTTGCTTTTCTAGACTAATGATTTACCTTGCAAGGAGCATGCTCATGAATCGGAGGTCTCCAGCCCATACTGGGTAAATAAGTATTTGGATGTGGAGTAGCGCGACCACGATTAGCGCGATTGCAACGATGAGTAAGGATTTTGCGTATATATTAGCTACCAATCTTCTGGAGTATGTTTTTCATGCTCAACATTCCCTGGTAAGTCTTCGCCTGGCCACGGTTTCCAAGACCAGCTCCGACACACTTGAAATAGGTAGTGAGTAATGAAAATTGGTTGCAGCGAGATCCAATGGTCCTGCTGCAGTACGTCCAACAGCCTAAGTGGCATACCATGCTCACATGACCACTCAACCTTCCGAGGTTTTCCATTATGACCACAAATAAGCAAAGGAGTTCTCGTATTCAACCTTAACATGTTCGCAATACACTCGGGAAAGCGCCGATGACAAGGCATAAAACTGTGACTCCGCGGCCTATCGGAGTAAAAAACCGGCTGGAAATAGTGTCTGAGTTTCTTAAGGTCCACCGTACTTTGTACGATTGGTAATTAAGTTTTTGCAATTTTTTTGAACTGGTTTTGTTGTTTTTTTGTTTTTTTTGTTTTTTTTGGTCCGTGGTGTCGCCCAACGCGGTCGGCAGAGAGTGGCGATGAGCAAATTTTAAATATATTTCTTGGCATGTTGGTCGAAGGCTCATTTGCGCGGTCTTGATGTGTAAGACGGGTTGGGTGAATGTGCGGAGGTCACGGGTAGTTGGTTGGTGAGAGGCATTGATTCGTGTGTGAGGATTAGCTATAGGTAAAGAAAACAGTGGTGTTAGCTATCGTACGCTAATTTGGAACTAATCAATAATCTGCTTGCATTTAGACTCGACTTGTGATTCGCGATATACTGGTACAAAAATCTCAAGTGTTTCTTACTCTTGGTCTTCCAGCTAGTTTCTGGCAGAGATTTCTCTGAGGAGATTTCTATGTATCCCAAGGTATCGATCGTTGTAATTATTTTGCCAAACACAGACGAAGAAGGTATTGACCGGCTGGTGTTGTTTTCACAAGGCCTGAAGTAGTTCTAATTTGTTTGTAACGATGTAATCCTGCTAGCTAATGAAATAGTTAGATAATATCTCCTTCCTCTTAGGTGACAAAGTAACAAGATGTGGTCTATAAGTAGAGAGGATTGAATATCTTATGCGATAATGCTGATATACATTACCTAGGTACGATGCTAAAAATGATTGGAGGCAACGGCTTACAATGATTAGAATCATATTTGAACAATCAACTCCATAGTATTTTAAATGATTCATGATTTTTTTATAGCTGTAAATTTAACGGATTTATATCCATGACAATCAGGTGGCCAAAAGCATATAGATGAATTTAATCACTCCACCTAAGAAGATAACGTTGAAATAACACACACAACTTTTTCGAGGAAAAACTTTCTTCGAATTCCATCAATCCCGCTCAACCAAACGATAGCAGCTAGAATTTCAACCA